TGTAGAGTTTCGGGTTTAGGGTTGAGCCTTCGGGTTTAGGCCTTCAGGTGAGCTCTGAATCAGTGAGAGTTACCAGGACTTCCAAAGGCACTTGATTAAGAGTCATACATGAAACCTCCGTATAACATATGGCATAATCCTTGTTACCATGCCAGCACGTAGTAATCCAGGGGGATCATGCCGATATTCTTCTGTTACTAGTCTGGGTTTAGGGTTTATAGTGTTCACATGGCAGCCACGAAGGCAGTAAGCATGCACGGCAAACGGCGCAACTACACATGCAACAGATTCTAATGTCTGTCAAAACTGAAAGTATATGCCCCAAATGCATTCCTTATCTTCGACTGGTTTAGTGGCTGGTGGCGGGAACCTAAACAAACCAAATCTCCATGTTAAGCCCCCACCTAGAGCCAGAGCCAAAGCCTTCTTGCCATAAACCCCAAACTCTATACCTTTGGGTGGACCCCCCACCCAGTAATATTACTATAGTGCAGAAATACGGATTATATTAGGGTCCCCTGAAATTCATATTTACCACTCTGACAGGGTGGCGGGCCCTCCTAACCTGTACCCCAAATTCCAAAACCCTAAATCCCCAAACCCTACATTCCAAAACCAAACACCCTGAATGGCGGGCTGGCAAAGGTTTGGTTCCCTTCTGGGGAAGCTAAACCGAAGGGGGCGTCTTCTATGGGGGACCCCGATAAAGGTTTAGGATTGTTTATGGTTTATGGTTTAAGCTAAAGAAGGAATCACGACTCATTTTGACAGCAGCCTACTTCTGAAGCCTAACCTACATCCACCAAAGTATGCAGAATAATGGCCCTTCATAGGTTTTGGACCATTATCCTAAACCCTAAACCTTACCCACTTTGAGTGTTCAGGAAGCCCTCAAAGGGTCTGCACTGCTACACAGGGCGCCCCTTGCTGCCTCGACTGCGAAGATCCAGATTCACCCATATCCCCCGGAGGATGAACTCACCGGGCTTCACTTCCTTAGGGTTTAGGGTTAAGGGTTTAGTGTTTGAGGGTTTGGGGGCTTGGGGTTAAGTGTTTACGGTTTAAGGCTCAGTTTTGACTGGGGTTTGGGGTAGGGACTTAACTACTTCTTGGTACGCAACGCAGCAGAAAATCCCTAAATACTCAAATGTGACACACACGCTTTGGTATACGCCCTCCTCCACCACTCACTACCCAACATGCTGAGTGTAGGGTTTAGGGTTAGGGATTCTGGCCTTAGGTCGCAGACTCTGGTTTAAGCTCTACTGGAAACTTACACAAAGTATACTTATAGGAGCTCCGGAGAAGAAAATTCTTACCTGGCTCATGGATTTTCGTTTTATGCAGCTGTGAAATACTTCGGGCAAAGAGCGGGGTAGGCCCTGAGATTTAGGGTTAAGGGTTACAAGGGAAACTACACCCTAAACCCTCAACCTCAGATCTTTGAAAGAGGTCGGTCCTACATAAGCAGGTGCACGCAGTGTTCCCAATAAAGCTTCCATTCCCATGGTCCCTATGGTACCAAAGAATCTTACCCTTACATCACGAAACCTTAGATCTGCAAATGAGAGGTTGAGGGTTTTGGGGTTTAGGGTTTAGGGCTTTAGGGTTTAGGGTTTACCACCCAACCCTAAGCCCGAGTCCTGAACCTTCAGTCGTACTTTATAAGAACTCAGCCAAAAACAATGCTAACGCCTACATGCCTAACCCAAAACCACCTCCAACAAGCAGCTTCTACGATCTTTCCTATCCCGTGGTCAGCACTGAGAAGACCTAAACACAGTATAGACATCTACAACTATATTGGGCCCACACCACGCAACTGTAGAGTACATCATCGTCCTCAGTATCAGGATCCGGATTTCTACTTCCAACCATTATGATGACGTGACTTGTATACCCCCTCCCCCCCCCCACCCCCACCATAACCCTACACCCTATCCCCCCGAAAACCGAAAACTGCACGCAAGCCGCTGTTGGGATGAAGCCCAACGTCTTCTTCCTTAGGTCACACGGACTCGGGGTAATGGTGAGCTTCAAAAATAGGAGTTTAATTTGGGCTCAGTGTAGGGCGAAAGATTATAGTCCCCCTTAAGTAGATAGAATAGGGCTTTGGGTATATTACAATAAGATCCCCAGTTTACCCCATATTCTGTCTACTTAGGGGGGACTATAAGTCTAGGGTTGTCAACAGCATCTTCTTTGATGGAGACAAGCCTGCATTGCCTTTTGGAGCTTGGTTTCTACTGCGCCTGCAGTGTTAAAGGAGGGGAAGTGTCGACCCAAAATGCTGAGTTTCAAGCACAACTCTAGCTTGACTCCAGAAGGTTATCGCTACTCCAGAGCTCCTGCTGGGATGTATACCCTGCATGCCCAGTCCCCCAAACATGTACCCCAAATGCTGGAGCCCAAAGCCTTGACCTGGCCATGTAGGGGGTTTAGGGTTTGGGGTTTAGGGTTTAAGGAGTTTTGGGGTTTAGGGTTTAGGGTTCAGGGTTTAGGGTTTAGGGTTTTGGGTTTGGGGTTTAGGGTTCCGGGTTTAGGCTTCAGGGTTTAGGGTTCAGGGTTTAGGGTGATGAGGAAGACTATCCACTCTGAGCCCTCCATATACTTGAATACCCAAAAACACGAGGATCCCCGGTAATTAGCCTAGGCCTAGAAAGCCTCCCTGTTGGAATATAGCTTACTTCGGAAAGAACTTAGGACGACCAAAAAAACGGGGTAAAGGGCTTAGTCAACACCCTACACCTCAAACCCTAAACCCTAACTTTAAACCCTACACTCTAGTATGATCTGCCCGGAAATTCGGGTTACGTTCAAACTTCGGACCTCATACTCGCAACTGCTTGAACTCTATAGGGTTTAGGGTACGCTTCTTGGGGTTTAGGGTTTATAAGGCTTAGGGCTCAGGTTTTGAGAGCTTAGGGTTTAAGGAGTTGAGGGTTCAGGGTCTAGGGTTTAGAAGGTTAAGGTTCAGGAGCTTAGGGTTTAGGAGTTTAGAGTCTAGAGCTTAGGTAAGCCCAAACCAAATTCAGGGGTCCAGCTTTTCACTGCTCTGAGACCCAAGCTCTTTGGAGAAGACAAGCTGTAGGCACTTTCGCTGCCCATCACCTCAGCATCTACTTGGAGGGTCGGGGGACTTAGTAACTAGGTTAATAATGGGGATAATTGCGGTTACTATATGGGTTATAGGGGTTATTAACCTACTTACTAAGTCCCCCGGACCCTGCAATGAGTCCACGTAGGCTGAACTACACAGACATTACGCTTTCCCCACTACGATTGGCAAACTACACGACTGTTGCTGATCAGCGTTAGACGAGCCGCACGAAGAGGGACACAAGGCCTAGGCTTCAAGCGGTGCCTGTAAGTCTGAGAAGTGCAGCCCCAAAGAGGCGCATGCAGGAGTTGGGGATGTCGGGAGTAGTTTACCCTAATGGCATCACAATCACCTAAAAACCTTATATAGTATGGTCTTCGGGCCCAAATTCCATCAAATATGAATCCTTAGATGCTTAGGGTTAGGGTTCAGAGTTTAAAAATGTTAAGTTCTTAGGGTTGAGGGCTTAGGGACCACTACCACTCAGAAAGGCCCAAGGTTTGGGATTTGGGGGATTTTGGGGTTCAGGGTTTAGGCATTCTTGGGGTTGGGTTCGCTTAAAGGCCACTGCCGCCACTGTAGCAGGTGCTTCAAACTCCTAGATGAGCCATTGTTTATACTCCTAGTACCCCCCCTTAATAACCCCGTAACAGTCCCTTATATAATCCCCTGTATATACCCCGCCTTTATGAAGTTTAGACTATGGCTCATGTAAATCTCAAGTCCCAGGCTATGCCCAAAACCAGGACCCCTCACACCCTAAACCCCTTCATCCCCTCCCCCTGATATTAAATACTTCAATTATGTGGTATATGAAATATATATATATATATAAATACAGATATATATATATATATATTGTGGGAGTATCGAATATTAGGGGGGGGAGGTGGGGGGGGGGTTAGTTATTAGGGGGAGGGGAATAAGAAAGATATGCCTGAAACCTCGAAACCGCACAGCTCTTCTCAGATTCCCTACGAAGCATTTGGTCGCTGAGGCACGGACAGCTCAATCGAACGTTAACCTTCAGTGGCTTTCCCAAAGTTCCAAGTATCTACATGGGAACTTCTGCATAAGTTATACCCTTAGCGACCCCAGGGGTATATGTACTTCATAAGAGGAACATTCGAGTCCCCAAAGGATAGCCCGGAACTATTCTGAAGATGGAGTTTAGGCATGTCTCTGTTACCTGAATATTTGTTGGGGGCTGAGGGTCTAAAGCAAGCTCGGTCAGGGTTTCAGGTTCAGGTATTTGGGGTTTAGGGCTTAGGGTTCAGGATTTTGGGGGGTCCAAGGTTTGTGGCTTTGGTTACCTTAAACCTTGAACCCTTCAACCTAAACCCTGAGTCCTCATCCCTTCGGCCTGAAGACGAACTCCTTAACCGATCACCCGAAGCTCTACCCCACCCTACTGTTGAGGGCCCATTGTAGCCCTAGTATAACCCCTTCATATAACTGGACTATCTAATAGGGCCCAGAAAACGCTCACCAGCGAGCTGCGAGCGATAGCTGAGTGCCCCAGGCCCAGTAGGGTCGCCATGTTGATCACTGACAGTGTCACGACCAAGAATCCCGGCAAGCAGGGCAGACCGCCCAACCAGCAGCACCTAGTTTCTGCACTGCCCTTCGAGATGTTGAGGGTCTACGTCTTTCAGGCTGTGCAGGAACGATGGGGAAATGGTGCAATTTCTCTGCGGGGTCTACGGGAAGCCATTGAGTGCCGACTGGGTGTCAGCCTGGTTCATAGAAAACCTGCAATGCGGCAGCTGGCTGATGAGGTGGGTTGATGTGATGGATCAGTTGCCAAGTGTTTTGAATGATGCGGTGCGTGGTCGTGAGCTTTTCCTTTCGCTTAGTGACATCCAAAACGTTACAGCATGGAGAGGCATTTGGGAACCGTTGCCTGACCAGGACTGGCTAGGGAACAGGATGAGGACTAACAAGACCTTTGCGCTGAATGTGGACGCATGCGAAGCCAGTCTTGTGATCTGCGAAGCTTTTCGGCCTTTGCTGCCATTGACTGGGAATATGTGCCAAAAGCAGATGCAGACGCTCTGGAAGTATGGATGTTGGAAGGGGGAGTGTACCAATCAGTGCCCATCGCATTGTTTGTGCCGGGGCACCAACAATCGAACTCAGGTGATGAAGACCATCTTCAAGCCCATGCTCTGCGTGGGATCGAAGCTTTCTGACAATGCCTGCTGTGCCTTCTGGCAGGGTGGTAATGTCATCATGAGCGATACGGTTCGGGTCAGCCAGGTACCGTTCCGGATGAACAAAGGCATTCCTTGGGTCGAGAATGACGGCAGGGTTCACGTGCGCAAGGTTGGCCATAGGAAGGCGCTCTGCAAAACCTTCATGACGGATGATACCAGTGTTGTGTTTGATCACGGCAAGTTCGCCCCCGTCTGCATGCAGACTTGCGGGGGACTGGTGAATGGCTACATTGCGGGAGACTTCAGCTACCTGTCCTTTCCCTTTTGTCCAAGGGTTTGGAAATCAGGGTGAGGGTAATCTTCGCTTCTGTAGTGCTTTTGTTTTTGTCGGCAGAACCAGCTACACAGTGGAAGGCTTTTCGGTCGCGGCACCGCCTGTTACATCACTATGCAGCTTCCTGCCTTAACCCCGCTGCTCCGCTGATTTCTGTTCCGGGTCCTGTTAAGTCGGCCCGAGTACATACAGCAGCTGTGGGCGTTCGTGCTTTTAATTAGGTGCATGCCAAATGGGCTGCATCCGACTATGGATTCTTTGCCCGAAATGAGAAATGAGAATGAGGACTACCTAATCCAGAAGGGAAATCTAGATTCCCACAAAACAGCTTTTAATCCCTAAGCTCTACACCCTAAACTCTAAACCCTAAACCCGACGCCCTACGCCATAGTCTAATAGACCCTAAAACCTTAGACCCTAGGACTTCACAACGGTCCCTTAAGGGTTGACACGTCTAAGGCATTGGGCCTAGGACTACGGTCGCTGAAAAGAGTACCAAACCAAAAAACACTTGGCATGAGGGCCCTGAGGATTAGGGTTTAGGCGGTATGACGATTTTGCAGGGCTAGGATGTTGAGGCGGAATGAACCAGAAACTGGAACCCGGGCACGTGAAAATAGCTGCTCCCTAATGGTCCAAGGACTCAAATAATGGGGTTTAGGGCCCGAACACTGCAATCTGAATGGTATTTGGCACCTAAGGCCTTAATATCGGGTTTCGGTGTTTATAAGGTTTGCAAACGGCCTGTTGAACTAGAATCGTGCATTGCGCATCTCGTGCTAGAAAGGAGGATTATGAGATTATGAGGGATGCCCTAAACCCAAACCCTTACTAATTCTCCCGGCTTCTGCTACAAATAGTGGTGTCGGTTTTGGGTCCTCGCTTCCTGCCAGGGACCTTGAGAGTATATGATATATGGGTATTATGAGGAGATTGTGGCAGATTGTGATGCAGGATTCCTGGGTTGCTGTTAAGGAACTTAAATTAAGTTACCGTACTGGGTATATATAGTAATAATCGGGTTTCCCCAATATAGTAACTTAATTTAAGTTCCTTAACAGCAACCCAGCAAGAGCAATGCCGAGAAAGTTGAATCTGCCTAAGGGTCAGCCTCCATGCAGCAACGGTCTCTGCTCAGACCTTCTTCAACCCCGAGTATCTTGAGTTCCCTTCGCCCCCCTCTCTCCGTGGTACTACGCCTTCCTAAAATCCGCCGTGACTGTCCTCAACTACCCATACTTATCCTGAAGGAGTTTAACCCAGAGGGAGCCTAAAGGGTTCAATTATGAGGGGACAGGGAATTCATGACTCTTTGCTCACAACTATTCCTTTCAGGGACAGCTACTTACAGATGCTAACCCTAAACAGCAAAACAAGTGTAAGGTATGACATATACATGGTTTATTTTGTTTCCAATACCCGTCCCCCAAAAGGCAAACGAATAGGTTCTCTTTCTAATTAGGACCCCCCCCCCCTCCAAAGAAGATTATTTCCAATGATCACTCTTGTGCCAAGACCTGTTTTATTTCCAACAACTCCCAAATACTTCTGACTGCCTCAAGAAGACAGCCAGCATACACTCAAATATTGCTACTGAATAACCCATACATGCATTTATCTACACATGCATACACTCGCCGAAAGCTACCGTAGCAGCTATGAATAAACGAGCCAGAACCTCTGTTACTGCTATGAGGCAAGCAACGTCGAAGCTCTCCGCCTCGTCACAAGCCTGGAAACCTTAGCTGCGCCACTTCCTACACTCTAGACCCCAAACGTAAGCCCTAAGCTAAAAGCATGATCAACCCTAAACCCTAGGTAACCACAAATTCCCCTACAACAAAACCCTGACGCGTACACCCTACACCGTTGAGATCTAAACCCTCAACTCGGATTTTTCTCTGACATGTCTCTTATGATGCTCTCCCAAAACAGCAGCCCCATGGCGGCCGCATAATCCCCATGACCATATTCCCTTAGGGCCCACGCTTATTTCAAAGCCCTACGCCTTAAACACCAAACATATGTCGAGCTTCGGCCAAGCGCCGTCGTGGCCTTGTTGGTCCTGCGATCTGCAAAGTCAGGCATCTGGTAATCCTTCGGATTAATCAGGGGTCTGGGTTAGCCTATATGACTCGCATAAGCCCAGTGAATGAGAAGAGCTCAGTCCGTCCAGTCCTTCCCATTCCTTGATAGACATCTTGCCTTCAACCGGGTTGCTGCTAAGGAACTTAAGTTTATTTAGTTACCATGATATGGGGATATGGTTCATGATATGGTTTCCTCACTTTAGCAACTTAATCTATTCCTTAACAGCAACCCAGTCAAGCCCAAGGCTCGCTCCTGGACTGCACACCCTTAACACTAAGCTTCCATCCTTCAACTTTGAAACACTGGCCGTCACCCGTGAAAATTCCAAATCCCAACCTCAACCTCTGAACGGCATTGCCTGTTACCCGTCACCCGCCCCTTCCAAAAAAAAAGAGGCAAAACTAGTATCGTCCTGTCCTCGGAGGCTTTGGGAGCTGTTCCATGTGTGTGGCCTTGGCTTAGGCGTTTGCGTTTGGGCTTTGAAGTGGACTTCAGTGTCTCCAACTAACCATTGTTATAAGTGGCTTAGAGTCGTATAAAGTGATTATTGTGGGGGCTGGCATAACTCAAAGCCACCCATTGGTTTCATTAGTTTTGTGCCTGAAGCTAGAATTTCTGTACGCTTAGGGTTTGAGGCCTAAATCTTAGGCCCTGAACGTATGCCCTGGACCCCAGGGTTGGCTGAAGACTGCAAACAAAATCAGATTAAGGTTTAAGGTTCAGAGTTTAGGGTTCAGGGCTTAAGGTTTAGAGTTTAGGGCTGAAGGTTTAGGGTTCGGGGTTCTGCTCCCCACTCCGTAATCGCTTGCCTCAAATAACCCTAATGTAGACCCCTGATTAATAAGCACCTTCCCCTTGAGAGGGATTCTTATTGGGATCCTAATATCTCGGCCCTTAAACGGCAGGGGTTTATTAATCATGGGTCTACATTAAGGACAAATATTAGAGCTTCACGTACTCAAACCCATTGAGATACTGGTACTGGGATTTAAGACGAAAACCTCTTGGCTACTTGGACCTTTTAGGTCATTCAATGACTCCCAGCCCAAAAATGTTACACGTGCCGCCCAATGTTCAGGTTTAGGGTTTAGGGTTTAGGGTTCACGTCTCTTTCAAGAAGTTTGGAAGACTGCGGGTTGTTATTTGTCACATGCGGGGAGGGAACTAGTGAAACGGCGCATACGTGACCTTCCGACAAAACTGGGGCCCGCGGATCCTTTCAATGAAGACTACATCAAATTTGGTCGTATGTAGGGAGATCCAACCCTAAATCCTAAACCCCTTTAAGAAACTGATTGCAAAGACATCTCCCCAGTCAAGCAATGTGCAAGGAGTAAGGCCAGAAAGAGGAAAAAGGGGGTTTAGGGTTTAGGGTTAGTGATGGATTTCCTCATGGGCTACCTTCTGAGCTTTCTTACAACTTTCCTATGCTGCAATCTGTCGCGTACAAAGGCTACAGCATCTGACTTTAGATGAAGATGTCAGAGGGCTCAAAAGGCGGGGTAAAGGAAGGTGGGGGTACAGGAACTTAGCGCCAATGTAGTAGAGTATATACTAGGGAGATCCTGTAACCTACCCGCCTTTATCCCACCTTTTGAGCCCCCTGGAGATGACCTGTCCGAATTGTCAAGGCACCTTGTCGCCGCGGCGTCGGCCAACATTAGCGCAGACTCTTAAGCGCTTGCGATAACGGGTTGGCAAGAGGATTTCAGGTTCAGAGCTTTAGATTAGGTAAGAGTTCTGAGCCGGCATAGAGCTGGACCCTAAACCCTAAAGCCTGTGAAACTTCAAACACCAGGGCTTTTGAGACACCAGGCTGTTAAGGCGTGTATGGGCTTCCAGCATCAGGTGCAAGAGCTCTCTGAATGTGTCTTTGCAAAGCGAAAGGAGATGAAGTTTACGGGCTCAGCGAAATATCAGAATGGCTCCAGCACACGGGCTTGAACCGGCACCAAACGACGGTTCCGCTTTAGGCTTGAGGGCTGCGGACTTTGAGATCAATGATTGTGAGCTCAGGGGTTGAAGGCATAGGACTGAAACTTTCAAAGGTTACAACATTCTTAAACCTAAACCCTTGAACGCTAAACCTGTAAAGGGTAGGGAGAGGCTTCCGTAACTCTTGGATAGGTAAGGCAGACAATGTGCTATGATCCTGCCCCTGTTCCTTAACCCTAAAACGAAGGAAAGGATCACAATGGGAACCCCAAACAGGGCACCTCGAGCATGTAGCAAGAACATAACAGGACCACACCTACCAGGGACCTTATTATATTCCTAACATATGTCTACTATTATTCTTGAGTTCCCAATTCGGGGGTTCCCATTGAAGTCCCCTGACCCAAAGACATTGTCAGGAGGTGGGTCCAATCAGCAGAAAGGCCTCCCAAAGCCCCAAAGCTTGAAGACATTGGTTCTCGGGTTTGGGGTTTTAGGGTTTGGGGGGTTTAGGGTAGTAGGGTTTTAGGGTTTAAGGCTTTAAGGCATTAGGGTTTAGGGCTTTAGTGTCTTAGAGTCTAGGGTTTAGAGCTTTATGGTTTTAGTGTGTAGGGCTTTAGGGTTTCAGGGTTTAGGGATTTACCGTTTAGGGCTCCAATCTTTGGAGGCTTCAACGCAAGGATGACCGGGGCAGCTAGCAAGGAGCGTCTGAACCTAAAGGCAAAGGCCTAAGCTTTAGGTAACCAAGGTGCCTGGGCGCCCAGGTGCTCAACTAAGGTTGTCGAAGTTAAGCCCTCAACCTTGAAAAAGCCCTAGTCTCCCAATGCGTTTCTCAGAGTTGTAAGATCCCAATGGAAGGATCTTCCGGCTTTGGGGTATGCACCTAACCTTAAACACAAAGCCGAAACCCTGAATCCTGAACCCAAACCCAAAACCCTAATCCCAAACCCTAAACCCTTTACCCTATGTACTGGCTAGGGATTTTAAAGTGAGGCCTGCTACATGGTTTCACAAATGCTTCTATATCAAGTCTAGGCCTGCAAGAGATGAGCTATAGTCTAAACTCCTAGTATCCCCCTCACTGAGTTTTTTTCCCTTCACCTAAGTAGTCCCCTATGTAAGGCCTTTAAGAAATTAAGACTACAGCTCACATGAAGAAGTTGAGATGACCTATAGGGATGAGGGTTTAGGGTTCAGGGTTCAGGGCCCTGATCTACATCCAAAAATACCACAGTTCCTGGTACAGACTCCTACAGTTTAAGGTTTTTTAAATCCCTCAGTGAAGCCTGTGACTCCCGTTGACACGCTACACTGTCCTAAAACCCAGATTTAGACCAAAACACTATATAAACCCAAAACTGCAAGTCTCTAAACCCTGAAACCCAGCCCTAAACCCTAAAACTCTGGAACTTAACGCCCTGAACCCTAAACCCCTGCATGATGTTTCTGCATGATACCGCAGCTTTTTGCAACTTGGCACGCTTCGTAGTAGGCTCCTGCGAGTCAACAGCCACAAGTCGCCAACTCCAGCATCCATGCATTTATGGCCCTACTTAGTCCACATTACCCTAGGAAGAAAAACGGATCCTCTTCTGCATAAATACAAGGAATCCCATACCCACAAAAGTATAAAGGATCCCTAGCATTCATCCAATCTTCGGGTTTAGGAGTCTTGGTTTAGAGTCTGGGCGTTAATTTGGGGATCAAGGTTTTAGGGGTTTGTTCCACCCGAAACTCTCACCCTGCATTTGGGTGCGTTTTGGTGAGGGGGTTTAGTTGGCGTACGGGCTTAAAGGCCCAGGGTTTTTTTATGTTTAAGCTGTCAGGCCCCAGAACAACCTGCTCTCAAGGCTTAGGGTTTGGATGGAGTCTGTGGAGTGTTGGGCTCACCAGAACCTTTGGCAGCAAGCAAGTTCGGCTTCTGACATGCTGAAAAGCTGAACAGCTGGCCAAAAGCAACCCTAAACCTGAAACCCTAGACCCTAACCCTAAACCATACAGCCTAAACCCAACCCTTGACTTAGACCAGCAGCAGGCCCTCAGGGGCCATGCGCAGCCTTGTTTAGATAGGGATACGAATTTCAAAAACATGCTGGTACTGCCTGCTGTCTCTGGCAGACATTTCTTAAAGGTTTAACGTTGTGGGTTTAGGGTTTGGCGTTTAGGCTTAGGGGTTTAGGGTTTGGGGTTAAGGTTTTGGGGCCTAGGTTCTATGGGATATTGGCTTCCATGACTTGGGATTTGCCCAGTCTACGGTTTTTTAACTATACAGACTTCAACATAATTGCTTCCTTTCTACTACCCCAAGAAGAAAAAGATTGTTTTGGCAGCCATAACTATTTCAGGACATCCATAACCCATACTTCATTTTAAAACCTAAGGCATAAGTCGCGAACATAGACCGTAGGGGCCCAAGTACCCAATAAATGAGTATTTGGGTTTCGGGCAATAGTAAATTCAGTACAGGTTTTGTTGGAGTAAAATTTGGGTTGGGCCCCCACCCACTGATAGTGGTATACTAGGAATATATGAGGACCTTAATATAATTGCCATTACCTCTTGTGGTCACTATTAGTGGGTGGGGGCCCAACCTAAAGTATAATATAATACTGAGTACTTGAACCCCAAACCCCAAACCGAGCATCTCATTCGCCGCTCACCAGAATGCAGCAAGCAATGCAGCCTTAGCGTTTCTGGACGGTACCAGGTGGTCCTGTAGGGTTCAGGGTTTTGCGTTGAAGGCTTGCAATTTAGGGCTTAGTGTTTAGGATTGGAAGTTGGGGGAGGTAGTAAGTAGGTGAATAAGGGAGAGAACCATGGTTCTTGTATTGCTTCTAGGGGTGAGATGTATACTTACGACGCCCCCTTCAAGAAAGGTTAAGGATTTGGACCTCGAGGCGAAAAGCTGCAGGTAGTAATAAACAAAAGGACCCAACTCCTTAATGACATACAAGAATGTCAGGGCGGCCACGGCAAAACATGAAGCTCTGACACCCACATATACCAGAAGCCCATTAAGGTGGACCCTCCCTCCCTGCA